ATTCAGCCAAATTGTAAATTGGCTATTTTTGGTTGTTCTGACAATACAAGGCCCCTTCCTTACCATCAAAAGCAGATTATTAGAACAGGTATGGTTTCAGCAAAGAAATTAATATTACTGGACTGAAAGTCTCCACTGTCCCCATGTTTCAGGAAGTGGCATAATGAAATGCTATCGATGGCTAAGATGGAACAGATTCGTTTTAACTCACAAAAGTACTTATTGAAGGTCTGGAAACCTTTTTTGAAGTTGCTTGATGAGACTTAAATGACGTATGACTAATGGAATTACTATATCATACGTCACCACCCCGCTTTAGCAACTAAGCAACTTTTGCAACTTTGAGCAGAAAATTAAGCTAGTTATCAAAAAATATTTGGCGAACTATGTGGGTAATCAACATTGTAAGGAAATGACTCAGACAAATATGAAATATCATAGAAATGTCAAAATACACTGGAGGGGGCTTTAATGTACAGACATGAGTGATATCATTATTCTAACTCAAGACAGTGTATAAGAGTATTTCCCAAAATGTCAAACTATTCCTTCATTAGTTTTTGGTAATCCAGTCATAGTTCAGAAAGTATGCAGTAAAAATTCCGTTTCTTTCCTATCGAAAACTGACCAAGAAAAGTGCATTTATTCTACAAGATATTTTTCTGTGCCCAATTACTCAGGTACCTCACCATCAGTTATACAGAGTAACAAGGCAAGAACTATCCTGCAAATCCTCCCATATTGTCTCCCTTTCCTTCCTTTTTACCAGCAACCCTGAGAGAAAATAACTATGTTTAACAAACCATGAAAGTGCGCTGACAAGACCTGAGAGGGAGGAAAAGAACAGAAGGAGGGGGAGACAGGAGTTTAAAATTAAGTCTTAATTTGAAGGGCCTCATTCCACAAAATGAGAAGTTCAGTACCCAAAAAAAATTACAAAATTGCTTCAGGCATGAGATGTCCAACTTGCTAAAGCATTCACTAACTCAAAACTTTTCCTTGTCAGATAGTGACATTTCAGGTGAGATGTGTTTGTTTTCTTTATTTGAAGAACTGCGTGAGATGACATTGTTGTCCCAGAATACATCTAAGGGATTTTGAAGCAAACTCCTTGATTTTACCCAAAGGTGGTGATAGGTGGGTTTAGGATAGAGGATAAGTAGACTGAACCTGCCACTTCACTGTTTTTTTTTTCATCAGAGAAGACAAAGAAAAGTTGGCTTCTATCTTTATTATCTCCGTTCCGTTTTTTCCTTTCCCAATGTCAGATATGTTTATGTCACAGAAAATGTACATTTTAAAGGTAGATTTAGATATCCTGTGTTCATACCTAGTTTAGTACCCATCAATCAACTGTAGCCCCTAATTAATATAAATCATAGTCACATTCTCACTGTATGCTTTATAACTAAACTCGACAGAAGAGTCGAGTGACAAGATAATGTCTAGGTTAACAATGCATTATACTTAACACTGAAAATGTGCAACTGAAATATTTGAAATAGTTTAAACTTTTAATTATTTAATTAATTATTTGTTAATTATTTGCATTGTTGTGTTACTGAGTTGAAATGTAAGCCTTGAAACAAGCTGATGTGTAATTATCGCTTAGAACAGCTGACATATTTGTTGATTTATAAGTACTGAAAGCATTTAAGGTCACATTTACTGAAAATGAGATGAAACTGAACTGAAGGCATATACTGTATAAAAGAAGTGGACCTAGCCATCGTCACATCATTCATTGTTTTGTGGACTACCGTTTTGAAGCCTTGAGTTTGGTTGCCATTTTGGGTTTTTTTTGGAGCCAGAGGTGACTCTATTTGGACGAGAGGGTTGAGCTAGCTAGTTGGGTTAACAAAGATGCAACTTTAATTCACGTTAACTGTGATATTAATTGTGATACTAATTTTGGCTTGCAATAACAAAATATGCTCACAGTAAAAAATAAACAGCAGACTTCTTAAGAGTGTCTTTTAGTTCAACCGAACACTGAACAATAAATATTTAGGCTTCGAAAATGTTAACTTTCATGAACTGAAAACACTACGGGTGACGCGAATAGTTAAAGATTCGATGATTTGCTAGAAGGAGCCTGATTTGACTCCCATTCTCACGGTCGAATCTTCACAGAGCCGTTATGAAACGAGAATCATGCCATTTTGGCTATATGGGGGCTCAGTGTCTGATTTTACATAGAACTACTGGTTTCTCGCAAGTTAATATACAGCGTATTATGATATAAATATCAACATATAATGCTGTAAATGCGTGTGTGGTAGAATAGGGAGAGAGACAGAGGGCCAGCAGCTCCGGTGTTGTGCCGTGAACTTTGCGGGAATCATAAATCACCAATGACGAACCACACAGAGAATATTATATTGTTTTTAACCAGTACTTGGAATAGACCTGAGAGGAACCACGCTGTGCATGCAATTGTTGGCAAGTTGGTGGACATGCACAACTCTGCACAAGGCCGGTTTGTTATTTCACCATTTTAATTATACTTCATTCTCCTCCTTATTTAAGTGTCACTCACTAATTGAATCTGCCTCCTTCAGTTCTCTTCACACTCACAGACCTAATGTACCTCTGCTGCAAACAAGTCAGCGTGCCCCGCTTTTTTCCGTCTCTCCCTGGTAACTTTCTCCATCAGTAGTAGGTTAAGTTGTTAAAAGTTGCGACTTGTAACGTAACGACTCCATGTTTCTCTGAAAAATGCTACAATGTGTCACCAAATATACCCGCCGAAGTAAAGTGCATGGCACATTGGCTTCACGTTTCAGGACCGGAACTGCATTTGTAGGACCCTTGTTTTCTTTGATACTGCCAGCTAGCTATGTTACTCTTGACAGCCCCCGAAGTCAATTACCCTTACCCTAACCATCACAGGGTGTGTGCCTAAACCTAAGTGGCTATTTTCAGCTGTCATGACTGTCGCGTTGCTGTGCATTACCCCTAACAATCCACTAGATGGCACTGTCGCAAAAGAACTACGGTCCTAGAACTGTGGTCCCGGTACTGCAGCTATATAATATTGCTTTTCAGACCCAGAGGGTGACTGAAAGTTTTGAAACTGAGAAAAAAAAGTAAAAGACGAAAGCAGTTGAAATATTATTTGACACATAATAGGTAGCAGATGAAGTGTAAACAATGAAAGTAGCTGAACTGTAAGTTTAAGAGTAAGAGATGCAGTTGAAATATCAGTTGGTGTGTAAGTCGTGGATGCAGTTTACATTTCACTTAAAGTAGTAGAGCTGAAGACAGTTCAAGTGTGTGCACTGTAGGGGTGAAATGTCAGTTGGTAAGTAAGCAAAGCTGGTTTGTATCTTTCTCTGATGTCACACTGGTATTGTCCTTTCTTATTGCCCCCCCCCCCCGATTTACATACATGGTGGGGGGGGGCAAATATTAGAAACACCTTTTAATGGAACAAGTTAAAATGTTAATCCTTTACTTAACAAATGTTGTATAGATATGTATAAGAGCTCCCGTTGAAGGACTTAAGTGGTTAAGGTGTCAGCTGAATCACTGAAAGGGTTGAATGTATGAGATGTTATCACTGAAATGAGGTGATGTGTCAGTTGAAGTGAAATAGAGTATATAAAGAGTATGATAAGAAAACAGTTGAAATGTTGGTTGATATGGAAGTGGTGGAAATAGGAAAATGTTGAAGTAAAAGAGCTGAAGACGGTGAAATTGACAGTTGAAATGAAGAATAGTAAGCAAAGCTACTCGGTGTGAATCTCTTGTCACACTGGCATTTTCCTTTTACAATGTATTTTTTATCAAATGAGCATTATGGCTACGGTCTAACTTTTGTCTACAGTACCTCTGTCATCAGTAGCTTTTAATTAATGCAAATCATAGACACATTTTCACAGCATAATGTATCAGGGCATTGTCCTTTAAAGACACGCATAGTGCTTTTCTGTTTTCTTTGGCTAACTTGAAAGCAATGTTTTATTGCCGTATTGAAAATGTATTAAATATAGTAATATTTGAACCCGCTCTTGATGATATGCCGGTTATTCCCTATAAGAGAGCAGGGATTTTGTGATGGCTCTTCCTCCTTTGTTATACATTGACGCAAGGTCTTGCCAAGTCAGACAGCGTTTCTGTCGCCCTGCTTGGCTTGTCGGGGACTTTGGGAGCAGCAAAGGGGGGAAAAAAATGGGAGGAGAGGGTATTATCTCTAGTGTTCGTCCTTCACTATCACTCTCAGGTGCATTCTAATGGATAGCGATCCTCCCATTTATGTCCACGGGCGAGATCACATGTAAAAACTGTGCTCTTCACTTTTGCCCTTCTTTTCATAATCATGCCTTAGCTGAAGGGAAGAATAGTGCTGCACTGTAGCAGAGGGCTGCAAGCCCCAACAGAGATAACATTTACACTTAGTATTTTAACTCGCACACCTTTGCATTTGTTCTCTTTTTAAGGTGATGCTAGGATTAATGTCACTAGTTCCATGACATTTAAGCATACTTAAAAAAATAAATAAAAATTACTATTAAATGTCAATCGTGTCAATAATGTTTGCGGATTCTGTTTAAGGCCCATGAAAGATCACTTCAAGCTATCACACAGAAATTAGGATTCAGACGACAGCACCTAGAGCCGAATCATCTGAGGAGGAAGGTATTAAATCTTGCTTTGTTGGCCTGACACCGTGAGAGAGGTGCAATGGCTAAACCCCATTAGTCATTTTCTGATTGTGATTGCTAAAACTTTCCACAACCCTGAGACATCCCTCTTCAATTAAATCTGTAATGAACTTCCTGGAAGCAAATACCGACGCAAATGTAAGCAGCAAATGAGTTGAGTTTCTTTCCTTTTTGTTAGTCACTGCAGATTGTTTCCTTCAAACCTTATGTAGCTGCTATACAAATCAAATAGTCACAGTAGTAGTGAAAACCAAATACCACAGAAAGTAGGACATTCGTATTTCTTTTTGACTTTGTAAATAAACAAGGCTAATAAAAACCACACAACAACTGTTTTAAATGTACAAAGTTGCACAGGTCTTTTATCAGTATTTGAAAATATTCAACAATGAAAGTTAAATCAAACAGTAAGAATAAGTAATAACAATATCAGCAATAACTAGACTTCAAATCAGAACTTTTTAGTTTTTTTTACTGAAACACCTGAGGGAAGCAAATAAAAAGAGAAAAAACCCACCGAAGTTTAGAAAATAAAAATAAAAGATCACAAAATAAAGTCAAGACAAGCTCATACAGGGGTCAGTCACTTCATCTGTATGTACAGCACATTCGCTCCACAACTGTGCAAGACAGCAGTGAAAATGGGGGGGGGGGGACAACAAAACAGTGATGAAAATGACAACTTCTTTCCGCAGTTGGCTCTCAGGTTTACTGCCTTTTACGTCAGTATTGGCAGCTGTATGGATTCCCATGTAAAGGCAGGGTGAAAGCAGAAAAACGACAACAGAAATGAGAAAACCCATTTGGAGCTTGCGAGCAAATGCGTTCATTTTCCTTTTATGCGTGTATTACAGCCACAGAACTGAGAGTACTCCATTTGTTACTTTCATTTGAAAGGCTGAGAGGACTGAGAAAGCATAGTCCTGTTCAGAAAACAACCCAAACATACAGTGAAAACACAACCCAACATAAGGTTTTTTTTTTGTTTTTTTTTTAATAAATGGTCCCTGGATGCATAAGACACTGCCACATTCTTGACACCTCCTCACTTGAAAAAAATCATCATCATTCAAGCTTGTTTCAGTAAGAAACATGACATCAACATTAGTTTGGAGGTGTTTTCGAGAATCACATTTGTCTGTACATTAATCAATATTCATTACAGTTCAACCCTTGAGTAAATTTTACTTTCTGCCAAATCTCACCAAAAACACATTGCTGGAAAATGAGAGAAATTGAAATGCAAAGAAACCTTTGGTCAAAGAGTGTATTCACAAGGGGAAAAAATGCAATGACGAGATATAAAGAAATCATTCATCACTGAAGATTAACTAAACAACAAAATTAAAAAGCAAAACTCGAGTGGTTTTCTATATGTTTCTCTCTATTCATTCTCGATGTGGCCCATAGTTCAACCCTCCTCCAATACATTTGGGTCTGCAAGTTATACTGGTTTCCTCACAGAGGAAAGAAGGAAAGAAAAAGGTGCTCTTTTCATGAAAGTCATGTTTGTCTTGATTGTCCACAAAAAATAAGTGCCAGCAGGAAATAACCCCGGCTAAAGGATGTACAATCACAGCGTAAAACGACAACATCCTTTACTGGAAAGGAATTCAGAGTCCATAACACGCTCCTGAAAAGACTTTGAACCTGCATTAAATTGGTGTTTGCAATATTTGTGACTATGTGTGCACAAGATCTGTGCAAATCGGTGTCTGTAACTGTCTCTGGTGGTGGTTTATTCGGAGACTGTCTTATCCTGTGTTGCTTTGTCCTGCATGCAGCTCTTGCGGATGATGGGCAGTGGATGGGCTTCTGTATTGAAGACCCAGTCCTCCAGGGGGAGAAGGTCGTCATCAGAGAAGAGCAGGTACAGATACCTGAGCAAACAGGAACAATATCCATTTAATTAAAAGCTAGACTAATTGGTCACTTTACTGCTGTCTGTTTCTACACATTCAGTGTAATTACATACACTTATCCACCCCCATATTGAACTCTTGCAGAGTTCAATATGGGGGTTAATCCATGTTAAGATCATTGTAAATGCACTATGAGTCACAAATAAATATTTCAATTTCTGAACAGTCTACAAAAAAATTTGAAATCCACAAACTCGTCAAAATAGAAATCAGTGACTTGTACTTGAAAACCAGAATCTGAATGAATGTTGTCACTGTGTCCGGGCGCAGTGTCATTTTTACCACTTTGGTTTTTGTATGAATTAATCAAATAAGAGATAACATGTAAATTAGTGCACTTTAGTGGTGCTGGTAGGTGGATTTTGTTTATTTCTGACAGAAACAGGCTAGCCATTACCCTTTTTTTTTTTTTAACCACTCCTGGTGTAAAGATGCCCGTGGCTGGCTGTAGCTTAATATTAAATGCACACAAATCATTATGCTGTGTAACCTGGTTTTCCTGACTAATCTGTCTTTTTGATGTGTAAGTAACATACTGATAGTACTGGCATATTAACGGTTTACCATATTGTTCTATATAAAAAAAAAATGTTAGACTTTTTCCTTGTCAACAGTACATTTCTGGTGAAAAGATGTTATTCTTCAAAGAGACCAAGCATTTTCCTCAAGAAGTAAGGCCTCCTTATTTCTCCATTACAGCTGTCTTTCTGTGTCTTGACATAAGAAGGATAAGGCGGACACATTTTGCATTATTTCTTTTAGCCAATAAAAAAACAAAACCAACAATTAATTGATTCTACTAACAAGTATTGTCTGTGTAGCTAAAGCCTGATAGAGCTCCACTGTTGTCCAACAACTATTAAAATAACATCAATGAGCCACACTGTTGCACTGGAAGATGGGCATTAGTTTATTAGTAGATGTGTATTAATTCGCTGCTGAAAATAGTCCAAATACAGTATTTACTCATGTTGGAGTAACATTGCAAAAACTACAGTGCACAGCTGTTATATTATTATGCCTTTTTAAAAGATTGACGTTGCCCAGTGCCACAGACACAGTAGGGAAGTCTGAAAGGGAGGGACTTGCAGGTTTTGTTTTTTTCTCCATGGGATGTTTTGACAAAATATTCTTTAACCACTAAACCATTTGACCACATTTAAAGGGGACCTTTTAATGCTTTTTCGTATTTTCTGGCACATCTATAATGTTACAACATGACCCAAGCTTCAAATAATGGTAAAAGTATTTAAAAGAAATCCCTGTGAGCCAAAACCTCAGATATCCCCCCCTGTTCTTAATGCTCCGTTTTAATCCGTTTTCTCTACTAACTGCTGGGTATGATGTCATTCCAAGATGGATTTCCATATATGGTCATTTGCTCCACGCAGAGAATACTGGCCACACCCACAAAGGAACATGCAGCTCCATCCCTGCGTCAACCTGGGCTGAGAGACAGGAGCATCTACAGCTTGTTTCAGACAGATACTGAAATAAGGCCTGCATGATGTGCCAGTATAAGATAGAATTATTATTATTTTTTTTTACTTGGAAGGCAGTTTTGCATGATTCAAAGAGAACTACAATATTGGGCTGGAAATGCAGCAGAATAGGTCTCCTTTAATAATCTGGCATGCAAGAACACTTTGCAAGCTCAATACAGTATTACTAAATTATTCACATGCAAGGACTTCTTGTCATGATTTGTCACTGCAACTTTAAAGTGAATGCACATTAGGGATAGTGTAGCGCTGAGTGAGGTGGCAGCACAGTCGTTTTTAAGCGTTGCCTGGTGACAGCTGACCTGAATATATGATTCCTGATTCCTGTCTTTACCATCTACTATTTTAGCACTCTGAATGGTGTGTGTTGCTTAGTGACCCAAGAATTAGGGGAGGTAAAATCTATTGCCATTCACGTTGTTTTTTAACGAGTGAAATTAAGAAAATCACATTCAAAGTGTGATTGGAATGGAATCGCCTTAGATGACTCCTGAACACTGGAGTAGAGAGTGTCTCATTCACATCACGAGCTTGCTTCACGGACAGGACAGATAATGGATAGAGATGAATCCCCAGCATTTAGTATTGGACCCTATATTACTTTCTATATCTAATATGGCTTACGCATGCAAATTGTAAAATGGCATTTGCTATGGGGAGATGTGGTGAGGAAATAGGTCTTACTTGAGTGTCTCTGAGAGGAAGAAGCTCTGCTGCATGTTATCGTGGCTGACTGTCATGGTGTAAACGTCACGGATCCCAGAGAACCCAGACTCCACTCTGCAGTGCTGCTCCAGGGCCTGACAGGAAACGGAGGATCCATTTAAACATGAACATGTACCTTTTCTGGTGAAAGTAAATACAGACCGTTTCTTGCCAGCTTCATTGTACAAACTGAATCAATCATATGTAATTCATTTATTCATGTATATTTTTATTTACCCATTTTATAAGCTCTCAGAGTGGCCATTGTGAGAGGACCAAGTATTTTACATACTGCACAGAGAAAATCACACTGCGTATGAGTAAAGGCTGTTGCCTATTCTTCTGATGCATTACAGTGGATAAAGAGAAAATGCTTTCCGCAACAACAATGTGTCCATTTACACCTAAAAGGGTAAATAAATCATGGAACAAGTCGAGCCCTTCAGCCGGTTACAGAATTGAAGCCCAAGCAATGCTAAATCTGAGGGCTAATGGAGAGTGGCTGAGCTAGCCAAGCGGATTAGCACATTATTACCCCTGCTACAAAGGGCTGGCTTATATGTGCTAATTAACAAAGACCCCGACATGTTAAAGCTTGATGCTCATGAGGAGAAGTGTTGTGCACTGCATTCAACCTTTGTGCCGGATAATTAAAGGCCCGTCAAACTCGTCAGCCATCTCTCCACTTCTGTGCCCACTAAATTAATGCTAAATTTATTATGCCAGTCCTCTACAGTTTACCATAGCTAATGTCCTGTCTGTTGCCACATTAATAATAGTGCGGCTCCCTACAGAACCTTCACCTCCTGCTTGTGGGATTGCTTGATCTACAAGCTAATGTATGGTGCCACACAATATCGAGGAAGCTGGTTGAGGGTAATTGAGGGTGTTATAGGTGCTTGACATAATAGGTGAGTACAATTTATGAAATCAGAGTCCAAGCCACTCCTAAGAGAGAAATAGGGTACAAATATGGTTCTGTATCACCCACTGAAATATAACTTTAAATTTTTCTTTGTAACACACCGACCTAAATATAAGACTACGACAACATGATTCGGCTCTACCTTCCTGTTTGAAAGGAGTGAGTACTGTTCAGGACATTACATTAGATTGTAGACTTCATGTTGGTAGGCTAGCCACTTTCTTCTGTCTGTTTTATAGTTTGTCTTTTGTATTTCAGTTGATTTTGTCTGAAAAGTAACAATGAAAAAGATGGCCTGAGCAAAAAGTTAAAACCATGGCTCCTTTTTCACATCCACACAGCCGACCAAACACAGCATGAAGGTGGGTGTGAAGCTTTCAAACTAACAGCTTAAAAGACGCACTATAAATGCAATTAAAGTAACTTGCTAGCCTAGCCACGTTAAGGCTAAAAACAAACCCATATTGAAACACACTCTGTAGCGGTCTGGGTTACACCAGTATTATCTCCATTAAAAAAGAATATCTGATGATGTCAATATCTTATATTCGGGTCAATAATGTATGACAGGATACACAAGATGAGGAATTAACTTAACTTGAAAACTCACTTGGACAACCAAGACAAATGGTGGGGTTTATGCTTTCATGTCATTTTTCACTTTTTCCTAGCTTTCCCCACAGGACTAGTGATAAAATGTTAGTATAGAAAAGACAAATGCATTTACAGAATTTCTTTTCCCAAAGACAGGTCTTGGAAAAAGCTGGGTCCTCTTATATTTGGGCTAGTACAGTAAATGTTAACACTGTATTGGCATATCTCACCTCAACAGCCTCCCAGCCCCACTCTCTGTACTTGGGGTCATGGGTCAGTCTCCACATGTACATGTAGCTCTCGATTACTTCTGGTCGTAGGATGTAATATCTGTCGCTCAGCCTGGTAGCTGTGGCTTCACTTCCGCCGTCAAATCTGAACGCCTCAGGTCCCAGCTTGGTGGCTGAGAGAGAGAAATATAAAAGACACAACATATAACATATTTTATTTTGGGCCATAGACACAAGCACTTTTTCCAACAGATCTGATCTATCAGTGTACAGAAGCCATCCAATTGCTAGTGGTTTTTAAAAAAAGGCTAGAAGCAAAAGTGAAACAATTAAGACCTCCCGGCTGCCCAGATGGTCTGTGGGCTTCTCTTTTTCTGTCATTGTCCTTATTCTTCTCCTTCCCTCCATTATTTTTCTACCACGATTCAACACTGCACAGCAAATAGATTCTTTTCATGGTAATGCACAAAGCAATCTATTTTTGCCAAGGTCAGGACAGGAGCATCGGCATAGCAACATCTTGAATTTAGGAACATGCTTGGAGTGGAAGTTATTATGATTATAAAACCTAGTTTTTACATTTATTTTTCTCTGGCTCATCCTCTGATTTTAGCCACCCACTGTATAGCTGCTTGGAAAATTGGACCATGTTTAGAGGAAGCAGGTTCTTTAAGATCACTGAGGGTTTACGAGTTAGCTGCATCTGATTGGACCTGACAATCATCTTGAAACAAAAAGCTAGTGTGATAGACAGCAGGGCCACCCGGTCAGCTAGTCCATTATAGAGTGTGAGTGTGTGAGTGTGAGTGAGTGAGTGAGTGATGGTGTGCAAGCAATACAAGGAGAAACATGGAAACAAAGTGTTTACAGTTCAACACACACCCACAGACTTTACTATACACACATCACTGTGCAAAGACAGGGAGAAAATTAGGAGAAATACGTCACCACCAGTTAGTGTATTGTGGCTGAAAAACCATTAAGACGGAAGATGGATTAAGTCGGCCAGTGGCTTTAAATACATTTTATTCATAGCTAAAAAATCAAAGGGGGCTTTACAATCTGTCCAACAGAGGGTGGGAAAAGGTTAAGAATTAAAACAAAAACAAGAGTAGAATCCCCTTCCACATACAATATGTAGGCGTTATGCAGAGGAACAACAGCAGTAGCAAAATTAAAGTATGGAGCCTATGGTTTTT